ATGTTATTGAAAAGTTGTGGATCCCGTAAAATACGTGATTAAAATTAGTTATTAACTTTAATTTAAATTAAAATCTGAATTTTAATTTTTACCAAATAAGGGCTTAATCTTTACATATATACAAGCGCGGAAACAGAGGGTAGAGTTTAGTTTTTCAAAAAATCTTATTTTATTTTATTAGTTAGCTTTCCTGTATTAAACATTATTAAAAAACGTGTTCCATATTTAAAAAAAATTAAATGTTCTTAAAACCACCAAAAAGTGATCAAATTTTTTTGAAAGTGGAGACACAGAAAGCGATAAAAGAGAGAGAGAGAGAGAGAGAGAGAGAGAGAGAGAGAGAGAGAGAGAGAGCATTAGAACAGGTTTTGTTCAATTATTTATTGCAAAAGTAACTTTTTTTGGGCAAAATGATGATGTTTTTTTTTTTTGGGGCGTTGCAACAGTCTCGATGAATGAGTAAATGATCGAGGATTGCCGGATTGGTATCAAAATTACATACATGATATCCCGTCCTCGGAAAATCATAAATAAAGTTCTCTTATCACATTAACAGTAAGAAATTTTTATTCTATCCACTGAAAAACATCAATTTCAATCGAATTTATTCTCTTAGATTTTTCTAAAATTTCTCATTTTGGGGGAGAAGAAATTCAGAGTCACCCAAAAAGTGATTTTAGAGGATCATTTTCTTATTTTTGTATTTTATTATCTTTATTATCGATTTGAGCCATTCAACCCTTTCACGGTTAATCCTTTACTCTTTTCGAGTCAATGCTCGATCGACTTATAAAACTTTGTTTTTTCACCAAATATGCCACCTTTTGGTTGTTGGCAAAGAAACTAATTACCATACACTTGTAAGGTTTCATCCAAACCAATGTATTTATCCAATTAATAATGTTTAATTAAGGAATCGAATTTCGAAAGTGATTATATATAGATGAGAATTTCCATGCAGGGTACCGACAAGGGTTGGAACATTTAAATTCTTCGATTTGGTCTTTTGTTGTAGCTAAGAACGTGTTTGGCTATGTTCATAAGAAAACTAACTTTTAAGTAAAATTTTCCTTCTAGTTTTTATTTACTAATAAGAAAAAACCAAAAACTTTACTTTCAAAGATCTCTCTCTTGACTTATCGCACGCATATTTAGCGAAGTGGGACGTTAATTATCATTAGTTAGTACCTAAAACCCTAAATTCATCTGTATATACTTTGACAGTGTAGTCTACAAAAGCAGTGCTTAGTAAACCAATTTTCTTCATTTGCAATCTGCCAAACTCACAACCTCAATACATTTCTTGAGAGGTTTTCTGCTATATATTGCACTTCTTCTTTTAATCTCTCCGAGTTTGCGCCTACTCGGAATCGAAGAGGTAGTTCATTTTTTATAACGTGTTATAGTAGTCGGACATGTTAGATAAGTAATTACGGGATTTTAGTTTCTTTTTCTACTTTAACGTTGTCCAATCGAGTCCACATTTCAGGATGTGCTTCTTACTAGCTCTAATTTCTTGATTATCTAATGAACTGATAATTTGGTTGAAAACAGGATAAAGAAAAGCAGAAGTGAACTTCAGTTTTGTTTTCCAACAAACTACCTGAAAAAGTTTAGTAAAGAAACAAAAGGAAATGTGGAGGCTGAAGATTGCAGAAGGAGGTAACAATCCATATTTGTACAGCACCAACGATTATGTAGGCCGACAGACATGGGAGTTCGACCCCGACTATGGAACGGCCCAGGACCGAGCCGAGGTTGAAAAGGCTCATCAAGAATTCTGGAACAACCGCTGCAAGGTCAAGCCCAGCAGCGATCTCGTCTGGCGGATGCAGGTAGGCACAAGACGACTATACTTTGAAATGTCTTTAAATTAAAAATCGATCACGATATTGAATCGAATAAGGTAAAAGATACTCCATCCAATCCATTCTAGCTTTCATTTTTTGTTCGTCACAAATTATAAATTACTTTTCTTATGAGTATAGTTGATTTTTTAGGTTTTTAATGTCTTTATTTAGCCCATGTTTGAGCTCCATTATAATGTAGTTTTGGGGGAAAATTAATTTTGTAATAATAATTTTATGAAAAATATATAATCAAAAAGGACGGAAAAGTTTTTGAGTGCACATGCAAGATAAAAAAATATATTATTGAATTAATGTAGTCCAAAATAGGGGCCAGATGTGCCTTGTTATCAACAAATATGATCATTAATGTAAGGGCATATTAAAGAAGGAAAATTATACTTGTACAATCGAAGTTGACAACCTCTCACATGTGTGTGGGGTTCGCATGTTTAAAAAATGAAAAAAAAAAAAAAGTGCACGCACCTCATGTGAGCGGTTGTACCCGTAGCAGAGCCCAACATGAAAATGAAACAATTAGACTATGTTTGATAGCATAGATTTTTCATAAAAAAAAAAAAGTGGACCCCTCATGTGAGAGGTTGTCAACCGAAGTTGTAAACCTCGGTTGTACACGTAGCAGAGCTCATTAAAAAAATGTAAATAAAATTTGTATTTTCAATTATATTAAGAATGGTTATATTGACACCACATTTTTTATTTTGATACATCACATTTTAATTGCAGTTAAACTCATCAATTTTTATTCATTGTCCTTAATGATAATTTATATCAAAATATTTTATTTTCATGATTTGAAATTGGGGAAAAATATTTTTGGAAATATAATAGAAAAACAAGTTTCCTACGCTATTTCAACGGACTTTTGGATATAACATTGTTATCAAATACAAAGTGTAAACTAATGGAAGGTTTGAATATAAGAATGACATGAAAGGTCGTTAGGGCTACAAGTGCTATAATGAGCAAATATTAAGAACTTTAAGCGCAATTAAAATGTGATGTAAGAAATAAAAATTATTGTGTGAATATAATTACCTTATGTACCTATATTTTCTTAATTTGTGCAAGAGTATTTAATTCTTGTCCTTTGCTCTCCATTAATTCCAATTATGGCTGCTACTTTAAATTTAAACATTTCCTAATTGTCTGATGCAATGATTAAGACATTTTTTTACAAGAAAAAACTTAAATACTTAAGATAATGGAATTTGCATGCAGTTTCTACGGGAGAACAATTTCAAACAGACAATACCCCAAGTGAAAGTAGTAGATGGGGAAGATATAACCTATGAGACAGCAACAGCCACGCTTCAAAGGGCTGTCCACTTCTTCTCAGCCCTGCAAGCCAGTGATGGCCATTGGCCTGCAGAAAATGCTGGTCCATTGTTCTTTCTTCCACCTTTGGTGAGTCCTTATAGCATTACTTCTCTTAGTCTTGCCTTCTTAACATGTAAAGCAAAACAAGGAATTCATCCGTGCCAATCGGTAAAGTTTGGAAGACTGCAACTGATTTTGAATTGTAATGAATGGAAAAAATAGCATGTCCTGTCAATGGCGAGTTGAGTCCATTTCATTTTTGTAAGATCGGTACAGAACCCTATTCGAATTCTTGGAATGGAACAAAAGAAAGTTGGGTCGAATGAATAAATGGAGAGGACCTTGTGGCTACAATTAATTATAGGGAAAAAAAAAAAAAAAGAAGAGGCAAGAACCACTTCGTATAATAGACACATTCCTGTTGTCCATGTGTTCAATGCTAATCGTTTGAACTGGATTTAACCAAAAACTGCAGGTCATGTGTCTGTATATTACTGGCCATCTTAACAAAGTGTTTCCAGCAGAACACCGTAAAGAAATTCTCCGCTACATTTACTGTCACCAGGTGAAATCTCCAGTTAATTCAATTACATGTATCAGACGCACGCACTATCCCGCTCACATTCTCGACTAACAGCATTTTCGCATTACAGAATGAAGATGGTGGGTGGGGTTTACACATAGAAGGCCATAGCACAATGTTCTGCACCACTCTGAGTTACATTTGTATGCGTATACTTGGAGAGGAACCCGAAGGTGGCAAAAACAATGCCTGTGCTAGAGCAAGAAAATGGATACTTGACCATGGCACTGTCACAGCAATACCTTCATGGGGGAAAACATGGCTTTCTGTATGATAAAAGAATACTGAAAATATGCATTTTGATGGGTTTAATGATACCATGAAGAAACCTTAACATGTATTGTTTTTAATGCATTTTTAGATACTTGGAGTATTTGACTGGTCAGGAAGCAACCCGATGCCGCCTGAGTTTTGGATCCTTCCATCTTTTCTCCCCATGCATCCAGGTTCGCACTGTTCGACTGTCTTCTGCACACCACCACATAGAGAAATGCGATTAACAGAAACAACTGTTTATTGTCATAACCTGGATTTTCCAACAAAATTGATCTATTGAACCCTGATCATAGACTAGTGCATAAATATACTCTTAAAAGACTTTCCAAACGGAAATCAAATGAACTACGGAGAATAAACTCCAAGAAGGTATAGTTTGATTGATTGTTCTATTTCCAGCCTTTTTTTGGCGAACAATCAACAACTTTTCTTTTTACATTCAGCATCATTCAGAAGTTGATTTCCATGTCATACGGTTCTCTAATTGAACATTACACAAGAAGAAACAGAGAGAGAAAAAAAATGATCTCTGCATGCATGCTTAATAATCTGGAAGTTCTGAGACATAAACTTACAAATTACAACTGAAACATTGCATAGCTTGAAACTTATTCCAAGATACAGGCTTACCTTAGAAATTTTGGACCAATGTTTATCTGGCATTAATATTTTCTACTTCAAATGCAGCAAAAATGTGGTGTTACTGTAGAATGGTGTACATGCCCATGTCATATTTATATGGCAAAAGATTTGTTGGTCCAATTACTCCTCTCATTTTACAACTGAGAGAAGAGCTGTATGATCAACCCTACGATGAAATAAATTGGAGGAAAGTTCGCCATGTCTGCGCAAAGGTAAAAAATGCCAGAGTTAAAAGACAGTTAACTGTATAATAACTCAGGTTTTTTATTCATTTGTTACTCCATGCTAAAATAACTGAAGAAAACATGTAAATGCAGGAGGACCTCTATTATCCTCATCCATTGATACAAGACTTCATGTGGGATAGTCTCTACATACTTACAGAACCTCTTCTAACTCGTTGGCCTTTCAACAAGTTAAGAGAAAGGGCTCTTCAAACCACAATGAAGCACATCCACTATGAAGATGAAAATAGCAGGTACATAACAATAGGATGTGTAGAGAAGGTGCTATGTATGCTCGCCTGTTGGGTCGAGGATCCCAACGGGGATTATTTCATGAAGCATCTTGCTAGAATCCCTGATTATATATGGATAGCCGAAGATGGAATGAAGATGCAAGTAAGACTATGTTTTCCTTCCAAAATCATGAATGTTTTGCATTAGTCTTGTAAAAACCAAGTTTGCCACAGTATAGCAATCAGCTTTGAATCATTATTGACTCCGACTCTTAAATGTTGCAATGGCCATTTTAATGCAGAGTTTTGGAAGTCAAGAGTGGGATACTGGTTTTGCTATACAAGCACTGCTGGCTAGTGATCTTACTGAAGAAATAGGCCACACTCTTATGAAAGGGCATGACTTCATAAAGAAGTCTCAGGTCAGAGATAACCCGTCTGGTGACTTTAAAGCCATGCACCGGCATATTTCTAAAGGATCATGGACTTTTTCGGATCAAGATCATGGATGGCAAGTATCTGACTGCACTGCAGAAGCATTGAAGGTATCTAATTTTGTTGAGAGAGATCATTTAAATTGGAAATGTTGTAAGAAATGAAAAAAAAAATACATTAAGATGGGTTCTCACCAACTGTTTTTCTTCTTCCTTTTTTATTATTCAGTGTTGCCTTCTCTTCTCAATGATGCCACCTGAAATTGTTGGTCTCAAAATGGAAACTGAACAACTCTACGATGCTGTCAATATATTGCTTTCCTTACAGGTATCAATATTTTATCCTCCGACCAATTATAAAGTAACTTCTCAAGTTTTTTGAGCATATGTTGTTAAAACTCATTTTTTTCTATAATTTATTTGGCACTTCTATGCCTAGAAAGGTAGGTTCAAATTCATAATTCGTATGGTATAACAACACACTAGAACAAAATATTTTGTTCGATATGTCACTTTCTAAACATTGCCATAATAGCTATTAAAATTGATGGCCAACTGCATAAATGCTTACAGAGCAAAAATGGTGGGTTAGCTGCATGGGAGCCTGCTGGAGCCTCAGAGTGGTTGGAGGTAGCTTCTTTTTTTAAGTTTCTTGTAATTACACACAAAAAAAGAAAAGAAGAAGAAGCAGTAAATCTGCCTGCATGTATCTACACTGAGAAATTTAAGTTAATACTTGTGCTTTATTCTGCCACAGATTCTCAATCCTACAGAATTTTTTGCCGACATTGTTATTGAACATGAGTATGATTCATCTCATTTGTCTTTTCCCGTTTACAAATACAATTTAGTCTAGAGCTAGACTAACATGATTTTGATGCAGGTATGTCGAGTGCACTTCATCGGCAATACAAGCTCTAGCTCTGTTTAAAAAATTGTACCCAGAACACCGGAAGAAAGAAATAGAAAGCTCTATTGTGAAGTCTGTAAAATACCTCGAGGATGTTCAGAAGCCTGATGGATCATGGTATACTTTTCTTTCCTATTTTAGCGCTTTTTATGTTCAAACATTGCACACTTTTATTGTGTCTATAAAGCACGTAGATGAATTTCTGCAGGTACGGAAATTGGGGCGTGTGCTTCACATATGGCACTTGGTTTGCCCTTGGAGGACTAGCAGCAGCAGGCAAGAGCTACAACAATTGTCTAGCCATTCGCAAAGCTGTCGAGTTTCTCTTAAATGCACAGAGGGAAGATGGTGGATGGGGAGAAAGCTATCTTTCCTGCCCAAATAAGGTAGCCCGACCTGCTTAGTAGAAAATATAGTAACTGATCTTAGCACCACTAACAAAACAGTGAAAAATATAAGTTCCTAAATTTAGAATCGGACAAAAAGTTGATAAAATTACAAAAATGGACCCTTACAGTTATATCTAATTAAACAGGAATATGTACCTCTGGAAGGAAATCGATCAAACTTGGTACACACTGCATGGGCTATGATGGGTCTAATTCATTCTGACCAGGTTAGCCTCTCGTGCCATATCAATATTTTATATAAACATTATTTAACCGCTCTTCTTTATAACCTATTTCTTTTCATTTTAATAGGGGGATAGAGATCCTACACCTCTCCACCGGGGAGCAAAGCTTTTGATCAATTCTCAGTTGGAAAACGGTGATTTTCCCCAACAGGTAAATTAAGCATCTTGAACCCTTCCTTTCATGTTTTCATATGAAATAGTAAAGCAACATCATGAAAATGATATAACAATTTCCTGTAATGTGAATGGGCGGTCCGGGGGGGACCACCACAACTCCTATCTTCTCGAGAATCCATACATCCCTAATCAGTGTATGGACAGTTTTACAAGTTTATTGCAACCATCACATTGTCAATTCATTGGCAGGAAATCACAGGAGTTTTCATGAAGAATTGCATGTTACATTACGCAGCGTACAGGAATATATACCCACTGTGGGCTATAGCAGATTATAGAAGGCGTGTACCACTACCATCAGCGCCAACCAGAAGCATCTGACAACTACATAATTAATCTCTTTCCAACAAATTGATGAAAGCAGTCTGTATAAGCTTTCTTGTTTGATTTTGTTACCAATACACGCATTAATACTATTTTATTCTTTCATTAATCATGTATTGTAATACATGTTACATATATCAATAAAAAATAAATAAAATTACGTGTTTAATCTTAGCATATACATACGTAACTAAGTTTTGCTTTTCAATTTGGCACCGGTTACACAAGTGGACTTACTAAAAATGAGTGACCTCCCAATCATATAAAACCCTGTGAGAGTAAAGATAAAGTGAATTGAAGGTAAGCCTCAAAATGTAACATAGCATGTTATTACACTTGCTTGTAACAACATTATTATCAAAACATTATATTTTAGACCTTCACCATATTCCAATTTATCTCTGCACACAATGTCTATGAATTCAATAAACTTAAAACAGAGTAACGTGGTAAACTGAAAACACAGTAGTGTGAAACCTTCTGTTGAAAAAAAATGCATTAGAAATGCCATTGTCAATCAGAAAAGTACAATCATTTTCATAAATACACTCCAAAAAAAAAAAGGTTCGTGGAACGTTTACACAACAGTTAAAAGCTGTTTTCTTTGCTTGGCTAAGCAGAATAAAAAATATTATTAAAAAAATTACATGAACAGTTGAGGTACAGGGAATAGATTATTGCAAAATACTCTATAAAAATCATTTCCAGGCATGCACATGGGAAGTTATTGATAGAAGGATCAGCAAGAAGGTTTGATCAATGCAGGAAACTCAGTGGCAGCGAAGTGTTGGGCTAAGTCTAGATTAGCATTCAATACTAGAATGCAACCCACGCCTTTTCTCACTACCCATCACCAATGCATCAGCATGTGGCGGAATTGATATCGAAGAGGTTGCGAATGTCGCTATGTCATTGCTTAAACAAGGACAGGAGCCATCTTCATTTTTAAACCGCCATTGATGTTTCCTACTCAGACCTTTTACTATATGTCATCATATCCATTATCGCTTTAGTAGTGCAAATAATTTAAGAAATTGCAATAAAATTCGAGAAAGAAAAAATCAACTTTAAAATCTTATATATCATGCTGAAATGCTTCCAAAAGCATTATAGTAAGATTAAATCAAAGATGAATTAATAAAAGATTGAGACAAAACCAACTCAACTTAGGAATTAGGGTTGCTCAGCATATCGGCTAAAGACTCGCTCAGAACTGGCGTCGGCGCAAAAGTGCAGGCGTTTAGGTCATCTGTAGGAGAGAGGGAATAATGCTCTTTTATCTCCAGTTCTTTGCAGTGCGCTTTGCAACTTGAAATTGCGATTTAGAAAGAAATCGTATGTTATTGCTCTGTTGATTTTCCAATTTGATTTATTAAAAGAGTCAAAAGTAAATGTGGACAGGTGTCGCCATTTTCTATCGTCAAAAATCCCACTTTTTAAAAAAAAAAAAAAAATTCTCTGAAATTCGTCAAAAATTCCCGCACTGTCATCCTGCTCCTCCATTATCTCACGCAACTAACCACTCCTCCTCCATTTTCCCACACAACCTCTCATTGGAATACACCTCAAGTTTGGATTATATTTTCGAGTTCTGGGTTGTTATGGTTCCGTTTTTTCTCCCTTCGTTCTTCTCTATTCTAATTTTGTCAATCAACCTTGTTTTTGCAGGATTCAAAGTTTTCGTTATCTGACTTCTGAGATTGAGAAAGAGATTGTTCAAAATAGTGATTGAAATAAGGTATTTTAATGTCAATTTTTTTCAATAGTTTTCAATTTTTTGCTGTATTGTATTTTCAATTACCATTAATCTATTGTCATTTTTAAACTCAATTTAACCATGTATTTTTTGATTTTTAGTTAATTTAATTGGTGATTGTTGAAATTGAATTTCACCGGCATGTTTGACCTTCTATGGATAAATTTAACAAGTATAATGGTAAAACAGTGAGTAAAAAAGTTTTTTAACCTTCACTTCTTGTCAAGTAACAGATGATTGCCTTTTATTTTAATTTTTGAGAGTATGACATATATATTCTATCTGTAAAATTTATCAGTTGTTAGATAATGTTTATCCATCTTCTATGCATTATTGTGTTATATGGCTTCAATCAACTTGAGTTTTAGTTGTATCTTTAGTTTTCGGTTTTCATTTATAAACTTGGGTTAAAGTTTGAGTGATGACTGTAATTTGTAATGAAATTTTTGTGATTATAGCAAATATATGGATTGTGAAGATTTCGTTGGCTTATTTAATCAATGTTATTGGTAGTATTGTTAAAAAAAAAAAAAAAGCATCCATGTGCGCACGGAGGCACCTCCGTGCACACACGAAGACACCTCATGTGCGCGTGAAGATTTCGTTGGCTTATTTAATCAAATTTGTATAGTTGAAAAAAATGTTATTGGTAGCATTGTATTAAAAAAAAAATCGCGAATGGTGGACATTTATTGCATAGTCAAATTAAATGAGTCCATTTAATGGATTTATAAAATCTTCATCATTTTACTACATTTATCAGTTATAACCACCAATCCGTGTCTAACTTCCGCGGAGCCAAGCCCAAACCCCATCAAATGGCTAAAAAAATTTTAAAAAGGAAAAGAAAAAAATGCAAGCTATTCCTTTCTCTATACAAATCTTGTCAACCCTTGTGGTATTAATGTTGGGAATTAACAGTCTAATGTAAGCATCAATACAAAGCATTAACAGAGTTCAACAATTCATTTAAACCAAATGACAGAGTTCTAACAGGTTCATCCCTAATGACAGTTCAACATTCAATCCCAGAAATTCAGCATAATCCAAAAATCAATATTAACAATATACCAATGCATTTATAGAATATACCACAATGTATAATCAACAGAACCTCAGCCTAGCATTTACAGATTATACATTAAACCTAAGAACTGAAACCAGCATACAGGCATTTACAGGATACAGAAATCGGCAGAATATACACACCTATATAAACTGAAAAATAGAAGCCTTAAATGGACAGAACTCAAAAGGTTTAAAGAGGACAGATTCTTCCCTTTCACGTGCTTCCTTCTCCTTTGCAGTGACTGTAGATGTAGGCTCAGGAACAGATGCAACCACGCCACACAAATCGCCCTCCAGAGAAGTGTTCTTAGAGAAACCAGGGTAAGATTTCAGGTCATCGATCGAGAACGATCTACCATTGTTTAACAGACTCTAGCTTCAGATTTTAGGGAAGAAAACTGGCACCAATCAGCCACTATTTCAGGCCTGAGTATACCCAAGATTAACCCCAACGAATCACTAGAGTCAAACCATAGAAATCACCCAAAGGGAAGAGAGAACTCTACAGCACAGAGCAGTCCTAGAAAACGAGAGAGAGGAATAAGTTTGAAATGAGAGGAAGTGTCGAGTCAAATAGAAGGCAAGAGAAGAAAATATCTCATCCAATTAGATCTCAACTGTCCAATCCATCCAACGGTTCTA